GGTGAGAAGCTGGCTCTGTTCTGACGGATAGAGGCTTAGGACACAGAGAAAGGACTGCTTCAAAGGGGCTGAGCCCTGGTCACAGAGCAGGACTGGTGCCTTTGGTATTACATCCATTCTGATTGGGTGAAACCCACTCCCATTTGTCTACTCCCCACTGTAATAGAAAAGATGGAGACTTTACAGCTGACCCTTGGCCCAGGAGGAGCCATTAACACATTAACACCACATAACCTCTAAGCACATCCATCCTGAGAGAAGGAAAAACACTGAAGACTAAATTATTTACTTATATTGCAAGTTCAAGTGAATTCAAGGCTTTCCTTAGATTGCTGTCACTCACTAGCACTATAATATGCAATAGAAACGGTGGAATTTCGCTGCTTAGCTAAGACTGGCCCATATTACATTATTCCTAATCCATGACATTTGGGTATGACCACAGGAATGTGTTCTACATGTCAACATTACAGCAAATGTGTTGGAGGACACATTTGGAGGAGGTTGAGAACCATCACTTTAAGCCAGAGTTTTCCAGATTTATTTACCAGAGCCCTAAATTTCTGCAAAGCTTCCTTAGAAGCCACTGGAGCAGTGGGTAAATTGGAGAACCCTTTCCTAGGGGCCAGAAAGGAGCCAAGCTAAGGTGTCTCTCTCTCTCTCTCCCTCTCTCTCTCACTTTATTTTTTATAAGCAGTTTTAGGTTCATAGCAAAATTGAGCGGAGAGTACAGAGAGTTCCCATAGACCCCTGCTTCGCATCACCAGCATCCCATGTCAGCGCCGTGCATTTGTTACAAGTGATGAACCGATATTGACTCATCCTTATCACACAAAGCCCATAGCGTCCATTAGGGCTCACTCTTCGTGTGGTACACACTGTGGGTTTGGACAAATGTATCATGATATGTATCCACCATCATAGTATCATAGACAACAGTTTCAGTGCCTTAAATTCTTCCTTCTTACCTATATTGTGTGTTACTATGCCATGTAAGATTTCATTTTGAAAAAGGATCCCATCCACTTACTTTTTAAAACTATCACAACAAAGATCAAAATTTCCCCATCTGCATTTCTCAAATCTGGTAGGACTCTGTCTTATTCAGACATATATTCAGATATACATCTTCTCCTTCGGCCATTTCCTGATAAACTTACTCAAACGGCCATTTGGTACCTTCCGTTGCAGCTTCACCACCAAGCTCTCATGTCTTCTCAGGTGGAACCTGAAACCCGGGCTGTGATCCATTGGATACGCTCCTTCAACTTTGTTCTTTCGGCCAATCTCCATGGAGGGGCAGTAGTGGCCAATTACCCGTATGACAAGTCCCTGGAGCATCGGGTCCGAGGTTTCCGTCGCACTGCCAGTACCCCCACGCCTGATGACAAGCTTTTCCAGAAGGTATGCAGAATGGCAGCTTGTCCAGGCGGGAACTTGGGGCATAAGAGAGGAACACACGTCAAGTCAGTGACATAGGACCCTGTTATGTATGTACAAGTCTGCAGGAAATAACTGAAAACACTGCTTGCTCATTAGGAACTGATGATCTAGTAAATTACACTTTGTTTTCAGCGACAGGCCATACAGTCATGAAAAAGTAAACATGTAGGAAAGCTTTATAGTACAATTGCCACAGTGTAAAAAAGTACTTAAGCTAATGACAAGCAAGAACTATGCCAAAAGATGAATAGCGCTGGTGGTAAGCGAGTGGCATTAAATGTAGATTTTGGGGGCTCTAATTCGTAATTTTATGGTAGTCTGGCTATATGAATGAAAAAATAGACCATGCACATAAAAAAAGTTTATGTAATAGTTCAAAACAGCAATAGAATAAAATTAACAGATTATTTTATAGTTAATATATTATTAATAACACAATTTATGTAAATAATAGTTAATAACATCAATTATCTAATATAATTACAATAACAATTATTATTTGATCAATTAATGAATTGCATAGAGAATAACACCAGTTGTTGCTTGGCAAGTCAAGTGTATATTCTTTTCCACTAATCTCATTTTGTCCACTGTTATAAAATAGTAATGAAGGAGAATTAATAGAGATTCTAAATATACTCGTCTCTTTTCAACACACACCTCTAACCCCCAAACACAGTTCTTTTTCTCGTGAAGTTCTATCTTACTCCTTTCTTTTACAAAACGTAACTAGACTGAAACCTATGTAACTTTACTAACAATTGTCACCCCAATAAACTTTAATAAAAAAACAAAAAAGAAACAACTCAGCTAGAAAATGGTATATCTAGAAAGGGACTAGGAAGTACAATTTGCCAATTACAAAAATAGTCACAGGGATGTAAAGTATAGCATAGGGAATACAGTCATTAATATTGTAAGAACTATGTATGGTGTCTGATGGGTACTGGACTTACCAAGGTAATCACTTCATAAGGTATATAAATGTCTAATCACTATGTTGTACACCTAAAACTAATATAATATTGTATGTCAACTGTAATTAAAAAATAAATTTGAAAAAAAGAGAAAACGGTATACCTGGAAGGGAGTTTGCATGTCATATCACTTGGCACTTGAAGAAATTTAGCCCCAAGATAGTGGAAAAATCAGAATACAGGTTTCCTAACATTAGTCCAACACACACACACACACACACACACACACACACACCCCATCTCTGGTATTTTCTTTCACAAAAGCAAATAATCAATTGTTTATGCCTAGTAGGGTTTCTTGGCTTCACTCTACTGAGTATAAGCATTGCCATATGAGTTGGGGACACCCAAGGTCATTTCTGCCATTTTTCCTGCAGCTGGCCAAAGTCTACTCCTATGCACATGGATGGATGCACCAGGGTTGGAATTGTGGGGATTACTTCCCAGATGGCATCACCAATGGGGCTTCCTGGTATTCTCTCAGCAAGGGTAAGGAGCGGCTGGGTACAACAGTACTGCAAGCTGGAGGAGAGTAGGGCTCATTTCTCTTTTTAATTTTCCCCACCTTAGGGAAATGGCAGGAATACTATAGAATTTTTCATTCAAGTAGAGATCTGAAAAGGGTGAAATCTTAAGTTAGCATTTAATATCATTTTGTGGCTCATTAAAATGAAGGTAGGGACACCTTGTGCTCTTTTAACACTGGTGGTTTACACAGTAGATTGGGGCATAGGAGGGAAACAGTGTAGTCCGGTGTTCAGTGTGGACTTCATCAGTACATTGAGTTGAACCCCAGCTTGTCCAGTTACCCGTTATGTGGCTTTGGACTAATACTTAACCTCTCTGAGCTGTGGCTTCCTTATCTGTACATTAAGAATAACAATACTTGTTTCATAAATTTGATGTAAGTATTAAATTTAAAAATGCACAAAAAGCATTTTGAAATGCCTGGCTTATAAACGTTAGGCTTTTTCTAACTAGCATGGAGTTATGCCTCACATAGCAACAGAGGAGCTGGCCTCGTATATGCTCTGTAACCTGCCTGCCCATCTCCCATGAGCAAGAGTTTGCCAGGACATTAGCCATTGATAATGTAGCAGAAACCTCAAGCGAGAGGCTTCTCTCTCTACTCCTGGGCCTTCCCCCATCACTCAGGGCCCAGAGAGAACCTCTGCTTATGAACCCTCAGTAAACAGGGAAGCTAGGGCTCGGGAAAAGGCTGGAGCAGGAAGCTGGGATCTTTTAGGAATCATGTTTTAGCAGTTGTTTTTCTTTCCCTATCCTCTCAAATCTGACCTGGCCAGGGCCCACGTAATAGACAGCTTCCTGGTGAGGACTGAGCTGATGGTTGTAGAGAGTGAGGAGACGGAAGGTTAGGGAGTCACCACGCATTGAGAAGGTGGCTGAAAACTCACCTGAGCACAAGGCAAGAAGATGTTGAAGTTTATTTTCTTCAGTCTGCATTAGGAAAGCAATAGTTCTTGTGCTAAAAATACATAAGATATAAAATACATATAATTTTTCAAATTATACTTGTTCTTCCCTCTGCCTTCCCGTTCTCTGGGATAGCATGGCCCATGCCTCCACTAAGAATCACTGCCCCAAATTAAGCTGGTACAATTTCAAGATCATTAAATTCATCAACATGATTTTTCCAACAGTGTGGTCTCTGGACCAGTATCATCAGCATCACCTGGAACTTCTTAGAAATGCAAATTTAGGAGCCCCACCCCATACCTACCGAATCAGAAACCCTGGGGCTAAGACCCAGTACTTGGATGGAAGGTGCAGCCCTCTAAGTGATTCTGAAGCAGAGAGAACCAACATAACAGGCTATAGTTGTTCTACTTTCCCCATTCTTTCTATAACAGCTGCTTGCATGCATCAGCTTAGAGAGCAGGTGAGAGTTGATTAAATGGATAATTTTTAACCCAAATAAATCTGTGACATAAACGCCATTCTGATCATCAGAAATGTATTTGAAAATAATTGATTCGATTGAATAATATAAAAGATAGGAGCAAGCAAGCATTTGATGGAGAAAATAATATAGCTGCCTTCTGCTTTTTTAGGGGTCTATTTTTCAGGTTAGTGCTGTGTTCTCAGGTAGGAAGAGGGATGTGAAAGCAAGATATTCGTCCCATCTCTAACCTCCCAGGTCTGACAAACATCAGAGTCTCCCTGAAAGCAGTACAAGTGCGTAGTCTAATGTTAAGGCATGACTCATAAATGGACTTTGAAAATGCTAAGAGGCACGAGAAGTGAATTAAAGTCATGAAATAGAAAAAACGTTGAGGTTGGAGATGACAAAATGGGTATTTATGAAGAGAGAGAACTGTAACGATAAAAAGACATGTGACCTGGGAAATCAGGGAAAGGTTTTATGGAGGAGAAAAATAAATGGAGATCAAGAGGTAGAATAGAAGGTAATGGGGTGAGTGTGGAGAAATTGTGATTAAAGAGAGCTGAGATAGGGTATTGGGTGGGAACCTGGTTATTCAAATCCGCCACTGCCCTCTTCCCCCCTAGGAATGCAAGACTTTAATTATCTCCATACCAACTGTTTTGAAATCACGCTGGAACTGAGTTGCGACAAGTTTCCCCGCCAAGAGGAATTACAGCGCGAGTGGCTTGGTAATCGGGAAGCCCTAATCCAATTCCTGGAACAGGTAAAATTGAACTTTGTAACTTTCATGGTTATAGAAAGAAAAGAGTATTCTAATGGTAGGTAAGATTTTCTGTGTGGGGCAGGTCTGACTTTTGCTCTGACTCAATATAATAGATCTGGGTTTCTTCTACCAATGCAATTCACCCATTCAACATTATCAAGCATAACTATCTGTCAGAAACTGTATGATATGCTGGGAATTATGAATAAACAAACAAACAAATATGCACACCCATATGGAGTTTGTATTCTAATGTAAGAGCTACACAGACAAGAAACAAAATAATAAAATAAATTTTATAACATGTTAAATGCAAAATACTATGAAGAAAGCTTTACAGAGAAGGTGACATTTAAACAAACATAAAGGAGGTAAGGCAGAGAACCATGCAGATGTCTAGAGAAAAAAGAAGTCCTCAATGAGGACACAACAGCAAATTCAAGGCCAACGACAAGCACATGAAAGACGCTCAACATCACTAGTCATTAGGCAAATGAAAACCACAGTGAGATACCACCTCACACCCATTAGGATGGCTGCTATTAAACAAACTAACAAACAAACAGATGACAGAGAATAGCAAACAGATGACAGAGAATAGCAAAAAAAAAATAGCAAAAAAAATGGCAAGGAAGTGGAGAAATTAGAACCCTTGTACATTGTTGGTGGGAATGTAAAATGGTGCAGCTGCTATGAAAAACAGTATTGCGATTCCTTGAAAAATTAAAACTAGAACTACCATATGAGCCAACAATCCTCTTCTGGGTATATACTCGCCAACAAACTGAAAGCAGGGTCTCCAAGAGACATTTGTACACCTGTGTTCATGGCAGCATTATTCATGATATAGCCAAAAGGTGGAAGCAACCCAAGTGTTCAACGAGAGATGAATGGATCAACAAAATGTGGTATACACGTAAATGTAATATTATTCAGCCTTAAAAAAAAAAAAA